CGTTACTTACCCATATGGTTGGTAACAAGAGTAAGCACGTTACTTACCTTCATGGTTGGTACCAAGAGTGAGCGTGTTATTTACGGATATGGTTAGTACCAAGAGTAAATTATTTATTTACACAAGAGGATGGTACCAAGAATAGATGCATTACTTACCATATGGTTGGTACAAAGAGTAAACGCGTTACTTACCCATATGGTTTGTACCAAGAGTAAATGCGTTAATTACCCATATGATTGGTACCAAGTGTAAGCGTGTTACTTGCACATATTGTTGGTACCAAAAGAAAGCACGTTACTTACCCATGTGGTTGGTACCAAGAGTAAGTGCGTTACATACCCATATGGTTGGTACAAAGAGTATGCGCGTTACTTACACACATGGTTGGTACCAAGGGTAAGCGCGTTACTTACCCATATGGTTGGTACCGAGAGTAAGCTCGTTACGTACCCATATGGTTGGTACAAATAGTAAACACGTTACTTACCCATATGGTTGGTACCAAGGGTAAGCGCGTTACTTACCGAGATGGTTGATACCAAGAGTAACTGCGTTACTTCCCCATATAGTTGGTACCAAAAATAAGTGCGTTACTTACCCATGTGAGTGGTACCAAGAGTGAGCGCGTTACTTACCTATATGGTTGGTTCAAAGATAAGCGCGTTACTTTCCCACATGGTTGGTACCAAGGGTAAGCGCGTTATTTACCTATATAGTTGATACCAAGAGTAAGTGTGTTACTTACCCATATGGTTGGTACCAAAAATTAGTGCGTTACTTACCCATGTGGGTGGTACCAAGAGTAATCGCGTTACGTATCCATATGGTTGGTACAAAGAGTAAGCGCGTTACTTACCCATATGGTTGGTACCAAGGGTAAGAGCGTTACTTACCTATATGGTTGATACCAAGAGTAAGTGCGTTACTTACCCATATGGTTGGTCCAGGAGTAAGCACGTCACTTACACATATGGTGGATACCAAGAATAAGCGTGTTACTTACCCATATGGCTGGTATTGAGAGTAAGTGCGTTACTTACCCATGTGGTTGGTACCAAGAGTGAGCGCGTTACGTACCCATATGATTGGTACCAAGGGTAAGCGCGTTACTTACACGACATGGTTGGTACCAAGAGTAAGTGCGTTACCAAAAATAAGTGCGTTACTTACCCATGTGGATGGTACCAAGAGTAAGCGCGTTACTTTCCAATATGGTTGGTACCAAGAGTAAGCGCGTTACTTACGGATATGGTTGGTACTAAGAGTAAAAGCGTTACTTATACCAGTGGATGGTACCAAGAATAAATGCATTACTTGCCCATATGGTTTGTACCAAGAATTAATGCATTAGTTTCCCATATGGTTGGTACAAAGAGTAAACGCTTTACTTACCAATATCGGTGGCACCAAAGTAAATTACCCCTATGGTTGGTACCAAGAATAAACGCGTTACTTACCCATATGGTTGGCACCAAGAGTATGCTCTTTACATGTCGATATGGTTGGTACCAAAAGTATGCGCGTACCCATATGGTTGGTACCAAGAGGAAGCGGGTTACTTACCCATCTGGTTGGTACCAAAAGAAAATGCATTACTTATCCATATGGTTGGTGCGTTACTCACACATATGGTTGGTACCAAAAGTAAGCGCGTTACTGACACATGTGGTTGGTACCAAGGGTAAGCGCCGTTAATTACCCATATGGATTGTACCAAGAGTAAGCGCGTTACATACCCATATGGTTAGTACCAAGAATAAGCGCGTTACTTACCTATGGGGATGATACATAGAGAAAGCGCGTCACGTACCCATATGGTTGGTACGAAGAGTAAACACGTTACGTACCCATATGGTTGGTACAAAGAATAAGCGCGTTGCGTACCCAATATGGTCGGTACCAAAAGTAAGCGCGTTATTTACGGATATGGTTGGTACTAAGAGTATGCGTTACTTACACACGTGGATGGTACCAAGAATAAATGCATTACTTACCCATATGGTTGGTACAAAGAGTAAACGCGTTACTTATCCATATGGTTTGTACCAAGAGTAAATGCGTTACGTACCCATATGGTTGGTACCAAGAGTAAGTGCGTTATTTACCCATATGGTTGGTATTTAGAGTAAGTGCGATACTTACCAATATGGGTGGCACCAAGAGTAAGCGCTATACTAACCCATATGGTTGGTACCAAATTGAGCGCGATACTAACCCATATGGATGGTACCAAAGAATGCGCAATACTTACCCATTGAGAACGGGAGTTCCGTGTCGGCCCCGTCCTCGCTTGTGCGGAGCCGACTTCGTGGTCAGGTGTAGGGGTGCAGCCGACCTGCAAGAGTGGGCGAGCTGGTCGACGAGGAAGTCGACCTGCACGGGTGCCACTGCATGGGCGCCAACTTCAGGATGGCGCCGACTTCAGGGAGGTCGACCTGGGAAGTCGACTTGCGGAGGGCGTCGACTTGGTGATGCCAACTTCGGGCAGCCGACTTGGGTGGTCGGCTGACAGGACTGCTGGTCGACCCGGTGGTTGGTCAACCTGGCCTGATGGTTGACTTGGTGGTCGACCGAACACGGTGGTCGACGGAGGGGCCGACGTCGACCTCGACAGAGGGATTCCGGATGCCGAGCAGCTGGGCGTCGAGTAGCAGGGCGTCAACTTGGTGACGCTGACTTCGGGTTGCCGACTTTGGGGTCGACTAGAATTGGTCGTCAACCAGGGTGGTCGACGGGCATGCACAGGAGCAGCTGGTCAACATGATAGCCTGGTCGACCAAGTGACCTTGGTGATGAGGTTCGGCGAAGGCACGCGACGGTCGCCCAGGCGATGTTGGCGAGGACGACCTGGCTGATCAAAGCCAGTTGTCAGCACGAAGTTGACTTGATGTGTGCGCTGTGCAGGTGACAAGGCACTACATGCCAATCATCTGCGAGCACCTGCAAAGTGGGTACGCTGCTGTCCTGCGGAAGCAACGTTGGCACGCCGTCAACCTGCGACGTTGCGACAATGGCACGCCGTCGACTTGGAGCACTGGCAAGCCGCGACTCTGCAGTGCTTGAGCGTGGTCGACCAAGTCGTGCTGGCACGCGGTCCACCGTGCTGCGCTGGCAGTAGGCTTGCTTGCATGCTAGCTCTGATGTAGTCTAGTCTTGCCAACTTCATAGTACCACACTTTTGCTAGTGAAACTGTAGCCAAGTTTCCCTGTGAACCAGCGAGTAGTGGAAGCACGAGTAAACGACTAAGTGGATGAACACAGAGATCACACGAGCATCCGTGCCTAGCCCACAGTCTAGCTCCTGTTGTAGTAGTTATCTCCGCACCCATATGGTTGGTACGAAGAGTAAGCGTGTTCCTTACACATCTGGTTGGTACCAAGAGTAAGCGCGTTACTTACCCATGTGGTTGATACCAAGTGTAAGTGCGTTACGAACACTGATGGTTGGTACCAAGAGTAGCGCGTTACTTACCCATATGGATGGTTCCTATTGTAAGCGCGTACCATACGGTTGGTACAAAGAGTATCGAAGTAAATTGGGGGCTAGTGCAATCTATGTGTGCATTTGGGGCTGGCTGCTGATATCAAGTTATGGCTGTTGTGGGAATCATCCGAGGGTGTGTTGTTTGACAGCAGGGATGTGAAGTTTGTTGAGGGCATGAAGCATAGGAGCTCGGAGAAACAGCCGGAGGCTAGGGTGTCCCAGAAGATGGAGCAGATCACCATGCAGCTGGACATGACTCCTAGTGTGTGGGAGGAGGGAGATGAGGCAGCTGCAGAGAATGGTGATGGATAGAGGGTACAGGAGGCACTGGCTGGTGGAGAAAATGGTGTGGAGACTAGCAGTAGCACTAGTGGAGCTGCTGTATCCGAGGGAGGAGAGCAGCAGCAGGGGAAAGCTAAGATGAAGCCGAAGGGTTTCGTCTCTTGGCTAGGGCGCACCCGTATGGCTACTATGAAGCTGACTGCAGGAGCTAATGTAGCTGAGCAGCAGCCGGGGAACGACGAGGCGTTGCTGATTTTGCCTCAAGGCTATGACCCAGATGGGGAAGATGAACCTGCTTACTGTTTTCTTGCCCCTGCACCATAGGAACCAGCTAGCATGGAGGGGTACCAAGAATAAGCGAGTTCCTTACCATATATGGTTCGTTACTTACTGATGTGGATGGTACCAATAGTAAGCGCGTTACTTCCCCATCTGGTTGGTACCAAGAGAAAATGCGTTACTTACCCATATGATTGGTACCAAAAGTAAGCGCGTTACTTACACATATGGTTGGAACCAAAAGTATTCGCGTTACTTACTCATAGGGTGGTACCAAAAGTAAGCGCGTTACTTACCCATATAGTTGGTACAAAGAGGAAGCGCTTTACTTACCGATATGGTTGGTACCAAGGGTAAACGCGTTATTTTTGCATATAGCATAAGCGAGTTACTTACCCATATGGTTGGTAACAAGAAGTAAGCGCGTTATTTACCCATATGGTTGGTACCAATAGTAAGCGCGTTACTTACCCATATAGTTGGTACTAAGAGTACGCGTGTTACTTACCCATATGGTTGGTACCAATAGTAAGCGCGTTACATATCCATATGGTTGGTACAACGAGTAAGCGCGTTACTTACCCATATGGTTGGTACCAAGAGTAAGCGCGTTACTTACCCATATGGTTGGTACCAAAAGTAAGTGCGTTACATACCATATGGTGGGTACTAAGTGTAAGCGCGTTACTTACCCATATGATTAGTACCAAGAGTAGGCACGTTACTTACCTATGTGGATGATACCAAGAGTAAGTGCTCGACGTGTCAACGGGAGTTGTATTCGGCCCCGTCCTTGCTTGGGCGGAGCCGACTTCGTGGTCGGGTGTACGGGGGAGATGCTCTCGACCTGCAGCAGTGGGCACGGGGGCCACTGCAAGGGTGTTGTGTTGGGGGGCGCCTGGCTAGAGGGCGCTAAGCAGGTGGACGCCGTCCTTGGCGTCTGGACGGCGTCATGGGCATCTGCTCGGCGTCCTGGGCGCCTGGACGCCCTTCTGCCCCTCCCCTCGTCGTATATCTGCATGGGCTGACTCCGGCGTCGGCCTCCGGCAATGAGGGGAGCAGTGGGGCGTTGCCTCTGGCGCCGACCAAGAACATCGCCGGTGGCCGACGTGACGTCTTGCAAGTCGGCCTGGAAGCGATGTCGACAGCAGGGACGCTGGGGCAGCAGCAGGCTGAGCAGGCGCAGCGGACAGGAGAGCAGGCAGCAGCGCGGCCGACCCAGGAGCAGTCGGCGACCTGGCAGTCGGTAGGGGAGCTGACCGCAGGGGAGACATTGGTCGGGACGCCGACCGAGGTGCAGCAGGGCGAGCCGACCACGGCGCAGCAGGACGCCGAGGACAGTGACGCCGGCGAAGCTGAAGGGGAGCAGTCAGACGCCGGGCAGCCTACTGACAGCGGTGTTGTGGAGGTCAGTGCCGAGCAGCCCGAACTGCAGCGTTCAGGACGAGTCCAGAGGCCGCCGGAACGGCTAACCTACCATGTCTGCCTCCCGGCGGCCGCCTTCACCACGTTGTACGACAATGACGATGACGACCTGGCGTACGACGACGCCGAGAACGACGAGGAGTTTCCGGAGCTCGACCTCGACATGCACGCCGACCCCGAGCACCGCTGGGACATCGCGACGATGACGGTGAAGGAGGCGTTGGCAAGCTGGAAGGGCACGGCGGTGAACGCCGCCATGGACGAGGAGATCCGCAGTCTGATCGGCAACGGCACGTAGGAGCTAGTTGAGCGCCCCCCGGCGTGAACATCATGAAGAACCGGTGGGTGCTGATGACGAAGTACCGCATCGACGACACCGTGGAGCGCGAGAAGGCGAGGCTGGTCGTGAAAGGCTTCACACAGGTGTATGGCGCCGACTACGACGAGACGTACGCACCGGTGAGCAGCTACGTCACGCTGAGGATCTTCCTCAGCATCGTCGCCGTCCTCGACCTCAACTTGATGCAGCTGGACTTGAAGAACGCCTTTCTGCAGAGCAAGCTCGACCGCGTGCTCTACATGTACCAACCGGACTACTACAACGACGGGTCCGGCCGGGTGTGTAAGCTGCTGAAGAGCCTCTACGGGCTGAAGCAGTCGCCGCTGTTGTGGTACAAGGCGCTCAACGACGTGCTGATTGGCGCCGGGTGGAGGAAGAGTCAGGTCGATGAGGCGCTGTACTTCAAGGTCGGCGCCGAGAAGGTGGCATGCTGGGTGCTGGTCTACGTCGACGACCTGCTCGCCGCCAGCAGCAGCACCGCGATTCTGAGGGAGCTGAAGAAGCTGCTGGAGGTCGCCTTCGAGCTGCGCGAGATCTCGCGGGTGCAGAAGTACCTGAGCCTGGAAATCGTGCGCGACAGGTCGGCGAGGAAGCTGTGGCTGCACCAGCAGGGCTATGCCGACAAGCTGCATAGGCGCTTCATCAACGAGGAGCAGACCGGGCGCACGCCGAAGACGCCGGTCTCAGTCGACGCCTGCCTTCGACGACGAGGAGGCTCAGGAGCGCCAGGAGGAGGAGTTCCGGCAGAAGGTCGGCTCCTGCAGTTCGCGGCGACGACGACGAGGCCAGACATCGCCTTCGCCTGCAGCAAGCTCGGGAGCGGCCTCACGGTGAGGAGCGACCAGCACTGGCGCGAGGTCGACCGCTGCCTCGCCTACCTCGCCAACACGCGCGACAACGCCCTGGAGTTCGGCGGTGGTCCGGAGACGCTGGAGCTGGTCGGCTTTGTTGACGCCGACGACGCAGGCGACAAGCAGAACCGGACGAGCACGGGCGGCTACGTGTTCGTCTACGGAGGGGCCGCAGTCTCCTGGTCAAGCCAGCGCATCAAGTGCGCGACGCTGTCGTCGATTGAGTCAGAGTACGTGGCGGCCGTGGACGCCGGGAAGGAAGGACGCCCACCTCGCTTCCTCCTGGCAGAGTTCCGGCAGCTGGACGCCGGGAAGCCGACTGTCCTTCGGGTGGACAACAAGTCGGCCATCACAGTCGCCGAGGACATGGGGTTGACGGGCAACCTCAAGCACATGGAGCGACAACACGCCTGGCTGCAGCACATGGTGAGGCGCGGGAAGTTCGCGTTGAGCTACATCCCGACCACTGAGCAGCCAGCCGACTTCCGGACGAAGGCGCTGCACTACCCGGCCTTTAACCGGTGCTCCGTCGCGGTCGGCCAAGTGCGCCTGGCCGAAGTCGGCGACGGCGACAACGATGTGCAGCAGTAGGTGCCATGCCCTCTTGCATGGTTGGTGCGGTGACCGGCGTGCTGTGTGTTGTGTGCACGCCGCCGAGCTATTCTCCGAGTGGTTCTGCCGTGTGGGCTAGGGGGCCCAAGCGTGAACGCGGCAGGGGAGTGTCAACGGGAGTTGTATTCGGCCCCGTCCTCGCTTGGGCGGAGCCGACTTCGTGGTCGGGTGTACGGGGGAGATGCAGCCGACCTGCAGCAGTGAGCACGGGAGCCACTGCAAGGGTGTTGTGTTGGGGGGCGCTTGGCTGGAGGGCGCTGAGCAGGTGGACCCCGTCCTTGGCGTCTGGACGGCGTCATGGGCGTCTACTCGGCGTCCTGGGCGCCTGGACGCCGTTCTGGGCGTCTGCTCGGCGTCTTGGGCGCCTGGACGCCGTTCTGGGCGTCTGCTCGGCGTCCCTGGGCGCCTGGGCACCAACTGGAGCCTCTGCTTGGCGTCCTGGGAGGTGGGACGCCGACCTGGGGGTCTGCTCGGCGTCCCAGGCGCCTGGACGCCGACTTAGGCATCTGGACGGCGTCCTGGGCGAGTAGACGCCGACCTGGACGCCAAGACACCGACCTAGGGACGCCGGGATTTATGTAGCCGGCGTCCGATTGGGCTGGACGACCAGGCGGGGTTGCCCGGTCGACCGGGATGCGGAGAGAACTATAGCAACGGGAGCTAGACTACAGGCTAGGCACGGGTTCTCGTGTGATCTCTGCGTTCGTTGGTCCTTAGTCGTTTTCCTAGTGCACACACTGCTTGCTAGTTCACAGGGCAATTTGGCAAGAGTTTCATCAGAGAAAGTTGACAACAATGATACAAAGCAGTTGGCAAGGCAAGACTACATCATAGCTAGCATGCAAGCAGGTCGACTGCCAGCGCAGCACGGTCGACCGCACGCCAGCACGACTTGGTCGACCGCGCTCCAGCAGCGCAGAGTCGCGGCTTGCCAACACTGCAGGTCGACGGCGTGCCAACGTCGCAGGTTGACGGCGCGCCAACGTTGCTCCCGCAGGACAGCAGCGCACCTACTTCGCAGGTGCTCGCAGACGATTGGCGTGCAGTGCCTCGTCACCTGCCCAACACACACACCACATCAACCTTGTGCTGACGACTGCTACTGATGCACCACGTCGACCTCGGGATACCATCACCGAGATCGTCCTCGCCAAAACCACCTGGGCGACCATCGCAAGCCTTCGCAGCACCTCGTCACCTAGGTAACCTGGTCGACCGGGCAACCAGGTCGACCAGAGGCTCCAGTGCGTGCCCGTCGACCACCCAGGTCGACGACCACTTCCGGTCGACCTCCCAGGTCGACCACTATCCCCTGGTCGACCAGCTCCAAGTCGACGTCACTCCTGGTCAACCAGAAGGGCTGGTCGACGTCCCGGGTCGACCAGAAGGGTTGGTCGACTTACCAGGTCGACCACCCGAAGTTGGCGCCCTCCCGAAGTCGGCGCCCATGCAGTGGCTCCCGTGCAGATCGACCAACCTCGTCGACCAGCCCGTCCACTGCTGCAGGTCGGCTGCACCCCTACATCCGACCACAAAGTCGGCTCCGCCCAAGCGAGGACGGGGCCAACACCCAACTCCCGTTGACACGGGATACTCGGGCGACGTGTGCGACGGTCGCCGGGGGTAGTTTCTGCGAGGCCGACCTCGGGGGTGGTATCCCGAGGTCGACGTGGCTGATGGGCGCCGTTACGGGCGGGAATGTCTGCGCTGGACACGTGACGAGGAGGTGGACGCCAACCAGCCGCGCACACCTGCGAAGCAGGTGCACCGTTGTCCTGCGGGTGCAACGTTGTGCAGCCGACTTGCTGCAGCGTTGGCACACCGTGGACTTGCAACGTTGGTGCACCGCATCTCTGCTGCGCTGGAGCGGTGCGAGCTTTGGTGCGTTGGAACGCGGTCGACCGTACTGCGCTGGAGGTCGACCACTAGCTAGCCCTGATGTAGTGATGCATGCCAATGTTGTTGCTATCATTCTGAACTTTCATTGTGATGTTTTCCTAGTGGAACTCTGGCCAATTCTCCCCGTGAACTAGAAAGTATTGTGCGCACAAGGAAACGACTAAGGAACAAATGCAGAGATCACTCACACAAACGTGCCTTCCCCGTACTCAAGCTCCCGTTGCTAGAGTTATCTCCGCACGACGTACTCATATAGTTGGTACAAAGAGTAAGCGCGTTACTTACCCATATGTTTGGGACCAATAGTAAGTGCGCTACATACCCATATGGATGGTACCAAAAGTAAGCGCGTTACTTGAACATATGGTTGGTACCAGAAATAAGCGCGTTACTTAAGCATATGGGTGGTACGAAGAGGAAGTGCGTTACTTACCTATATTGTTGGTACCAAGAGTAAATGTATTTCATACCCATATGGTTGGTACCAAATGTTAGCGCATTACTAACACATATGGTTGATACCAAGAGTAAGCGCGTTATTTTATCCATATGGTTAGAACCAAGAGTAAGCGCGTTATTAACCCATATGGTTGGTACTAATAGTGAGCGCTTACGTACCCATATGGTTAGTACCAAGAGTAAGCGCGTTACATAAATATATGGTTGGTACCAAGAGCAAGCCCTTTTTTTAAGAGTAAGCACGTTACTTACCCATATGGTTGGTACAAAGAGTAAGCGCGTTACATATCCATATGGTTGGTACCAAGAGTAAGCGTGTTACTTACCGATGTGGTTGGTACAAAGAGTAAGCACGTTACTTACGCATAAAGTTTGTACCAAGAGTAAGCGCGTTATTTGCCCATATGGTTGCTACCAAAAGTATGCGCGTTACTTACACATGTGGTAGGTACCATGAGCAAGCGCGTTAATGATCCATATGGTTGGTACCAAGAATAATCGCGTTACTTACGCAAATGGTTGGTACCAAGAGTAAGTGCATTACTTACCCATATGGTTGGTACCAAGACTAAGCGCGTTATTTGCCCATATGGTTGGTATTCAGATTAGGCATGTTATTTACCCACATGGTTGGTACCATGAGGAGGTGCGTTACATAAACATATGGTTGGTACCAATTATTAAGCGCACTATTAACGCATATGGTTGGTACCAAGAGCAGGCCGTTACTTACCCATATGGATGGTTCCAAGAGTAAGCACGTCACTTACCCATATGGTAGTAAGTACGTTACTTTCCAATCTGGTTGGTACAAAAGGAAAATGCGTTACTTATCCATATCGTTGGTACCAAGAGTAAGCGCGTTACTTACTCATATGGTTGGTACCAAGAGAGATGCGTTACTTATCCATATGGTTGGTACCAAGAGTAAGCGCGATACTTACCCATATGGCTGGAACCAAGAGTACGCACGTTACACATCTGGTTGGTACCAAGAGTAAATGCGTTACATCCCATATGGTTAGTACCAAGATTAAGCACGTTACTTATCTATGTGGATGGTACCAAGAGTAAGCGCGTCACGTACTCATATGGTTGGTACAAAGAGTAAACGCGTTACTTACCCATATGGTTGGTACAAAGGGTAAGCAAAATACTTAGCCATATAGATGGCACTAACAGTAACCGTGTTACGTACCGATATGGTTGGTACAAAGAGTAAGCACGTTACTAACCCATAAAGTTGTTACCAAGGGTAAACGCGCTACTTACCCATATGGATGTTACCAAGAGTAACCGCGTTACGTACCCATATGGTTGGTACCAAACGTATCCGCGTTACTTACCTATGTGGATTGTACCAGGTGTAAGCGCGTTACGTACCTATATGGTTGCTACCAAGAGAATGCGTGTTCACTCATAGGGTTGCTACCAAGGGTAAACACGTTATTTACCCAAATGGTTACTTACCCAAGTGCGTTACTTACCCATGTGGATGGTGCCAAGTGAAAGCGCGTTACTTACCGATATTTTTGGTACCAAGAGTAAGCGCATTACTTACCCATACGGTTGGTACCAAGGGTAAACGCGTTACTTACCCGTATGGTTGGAACCTATTGTAAGTGCGTTACTTGCCCATGTGGATAGTACCAGTAAGCACGTTACTTACCAAGAATAAGGGCGTTACTACTTATATGGTTGGTACCAAGAGTATGTTCGGTTCTTAGCTATGTGGATGGTACCAAGAGTAAGCGCGTTACGTACTCATAAAGTTGTTATAAAGAGTAAATGCGTTACATACTCATATGGTTGG